CTGAACTTGACGTACTGACTGACTTTGACTTCTTTATATTCCTGTGTTGATTTCTCAATTCTTGTAGATATTCCTTTCTCCATCTTGACCAAAAATGACCAATTACTGTTTTAATATGTTTCATTCGCCGACTCAAATCCGACTGATTTACATCATCTACATCGTCTAATTTACCAATATGTCTATCTGGAAGACTGATTACACGATAACCATATATTAAATGTGATGGAGTTAACGGTTCTTCTATGTCATCCGAAGTTGTATATGACAATGGACGTGTGTTTAATATAGCTTCGACTTCAGCTACCACTGTTGATATTTCATCAAAACTTAAATCACCTTGACCAATATTCTTCTTCAGGCAATCTTTGACTAATTTGACTAATCTTTCATAAAATCCTCCCCACCAAGGAGCTCTAGCTAAGTTATAAGACCATTTGACATGTTGATTGAACAAAAATTTCTTGACTGATGAATCTTGCATAATACTGGTTATTTCTCCAGAGGCTGGCTTGAATGTTGAAACATTATCTGAGACTATAACCATTGGAATTGATCTTCTAGCAGTGAATCTTCTAAAACATCTGAGGAAGGCATCTGGAGTGAGATTTGAAACCAACTCTAAATGAACAGCTCTAGTTATACAGCATGTAAATAGACAAATCCATAATTTACCAGAATCTTTAGAATGAACTGGACCAATGTAATCTAAACCTGTGTAGGCAAAGGGATTTGCTTCTTTAACTCTGAATTCTGGTAATTCTGGTGATTCTGGAGGTGTGTAAGGTTTACCATTAAATCTCTTACAAATTGTACAACCATGTATTAATTTTCTATCCAGTAATTTGATCTGATTTCTGCTAATGTTGCTTTAACTCCACCATGAAATATCTTCTGATGTGCAAGCCTAGTAATTAAATTTGTTAACCAATGACCGGAATCTAATATGATTGGATATCTTGAAGTATAGGGTAATTCTGAGTTTCCCAACCTGCCACCACATCTCATCAAACCATTTTCATCAGTAAATAATCTGAATTCCATATTCCATTTCTGATAATTTTCACATGATTTTAATGCCCTTTGATTTTCCAATAACCATAAAATTTCTGCTCTATTTGCTCGCTCATTGTTATCCTCAGTAAACTTGTCTTGAGTCTTTGAAACTTTAAACCTTAGAATTCTAATGAACTTCAAAATTAAGCTGGTTATTCTAATAAGTCTGTTGAAATCACTGTAATCTTCACATATCATAATTCTACCAATACATTCAGCATTCTGTTTTTTGACCAATAGTGTAGATTCCATTTTAGATTTCTTCTTCATTTCTGATATATATTCATCTGGGTTAATATCTTCTAAATTACAGTTGTTTTCTGTTTGATCACCTGTTAACCATAATGGACCTTGTAACCATAGTTGAGACTCTGACAGAAATTCCTTAGGATTCATTCCTCTTGATGGAATGTCAGCTGGATTTTCCTTTCCTGGACAGTGCTTGAAAATTTCAACAGGCATCAGACTTCTAATTTCATTAACCCTGTTCTGAACAAACTGTTTCCACTCTTTATCTTGATTCTTCACCCAATATAGTGCTACTTTACTGTCTGACCAACAAGTTGAGTGTTTGATGTTTAGGTCAATTTCAAAAGCCTTCTGAATTGTTACCATAAGCCGTGACAAAATCAATATTGACAAAAGTTCCAATCTCGGTATGGATTGTTGAACAACTGGAGCTACTCGAGTCTTCGAAGCTAAAAATCTGGAATAAGTTGATGTAGAGGTGATTATCTGCAAGTAGACTACTGCACCATATGCTTTCATAGATGCATCACAAAATCCATGAAGATTGCATTCTATGATCTCTCCTTCTATAGATTTAAAATAACATTTTGGTAGATAAAATACTTCTGCTGTTCTCATAACATCCACCAATTGTCTGAATTCTATCAGTAGTTGATCTTCTATGGGATCGTCCCAATCTAAACCAGCTTTACACATATTTTGAAAGAGTATCTTGAACTAAAATTATGAATGGTGACAAAATTCCCAGTGGATCATAAAACCTGGATGCTAGACTGGCAACATATCTTTTGGTTGGATTCTGTTCTGTTGGTTGTTCTGTTATAGACTTCAAATCAAATACCAAACTATCTTCAGTTGAGTTCCAACAAACTCCTAATATCTTCTGAGTGTCAGCAGAGGTTGTGTTTCCAAATAATGACTTGGTAAAACTATCATCATCTTCTAAAACTTTATCCCTTTCTTCTTTATTTAAAACTTGTTCTATTGATTGATTATCCATAACTGAGTTCTTTCCCTTTAATTGATTTTCTTCAAGATTGATTCTTTCTGTTAAGACCTTTGAATAAGATATAAATTTTCTTAGATTAAATCCGCCATCTGCTAATCTTAATTTATCCTTTGTGTATAATTCATAAGCTGACTCTTCATCTTTGGCACCAGTAGATAAATCATCCACATAAATAGACTGAAGAAAGGTTCTGACAAACTCTGGATCTGATTCTTCATATTGTTCTACATGTTGCTTGATTGTTGCATTCAATAGAAGGGCTGGAAGATACACCAAATACACGGGTAAATCTAAGACAGATAAGTTTTGATTGGTCGTTGATCCATAAAAAACGTAGGACATCTCTATCATCTGCATTTACTGACACCATTAGAAATGCCTTTTCAATATCACCTACTACTGCAACAGGATGAATTCTGAATCTAAGTAAAATGTTGAATATATTTTCTGTGAGAGGTGGGCCTGCATAAAAATCATCATTTAAAGATGGACCAGTTGATTTTGCTGAGGCATCGTAGACTATTCTGACTTTCGTTGTTGATTTATCTCTTCTCACAACAGGGTGGTGAGGTAAATAATGAACTTTACCAAGTTCACCAGATGAGGGATTTTCTACAACTTCTATAATTCCATTTTTGAGCTGGTCTTGAATAACTGAAGTATACTCTTGAAATATCTCTGGTTCTTGTCTTAAGCGTCTGAGCAAACCATCTAAGCGTTTATTACAAAGCTCATAGTTGTCTGGTAGAAATGGGTGAGGTACTTTCCAAGGCAGATTTACTTCATACCGACCATTTTTAAACTTGACTGATTCCATGAATTCTTCATAAATTGACTTTGACTTGATTCCTAATGACTCCAACTCCCAAAAACCTTTAAGATCTTCATCTAGACTTCTTTGATTTGTGAATAGTGATGTGATTCTGTTGATCGCTATCAAATTGTGACATGAACTGTGAACTGGTCCTGACAGCACCCATCCTAAATTAGTTTCCATAGCGACTGGGCCTTGCTCCCCCCATATAAGTCCACCAGTAAAGAAGTTCCATTGTTGATCTGCACCGACTAAAATGTCTATCTCGATATCACCACTATCTTCTATGTAATCTGCTAACTGGATATTTGATAAATGACTATAGTATTCCTTTGCTCTCATCATTGGTTGATTTTGTAGTGGATCACAGATGTAGGGAACAACAAATCCAGATAGATTGACAATACCCCTTTTGGTCATAACATTGACATTGACAATGTCCAAAACTTTAGCTTCTTCAGAGTTGGAACCAAAGGTATTAATCATGACTGACTGTCTTTCAATTGTTGAAAGGTTCAGTGAATTGCTTACTCTGTCACTAATATATGTTCTTTGACTCCCACCATCAAATATTAATCGGACTCCAATCCTGGATCTATGGTTGTTGGAATTAGAAGCAAAAGCTCTTGCTGTTTGAAGTAAGACTGGGGTTGATGTGTTTGTATACAAGACCACTGAGTTACCATTTGTTGAATTTGAAGTGTTACCATTTTGAGAGAATGTTGATCTAGAGTTGCCTTGGCCCCTTTCATTTGTAAACTGTCCATTACCATTTCTGAATTGACCATTACTATTTGAAGACTGACCATTACCATTTGAAGACTGACCATTACCATTTGAATACTGACCATTACCATAAGTAGACAAAGACTGACCATTAGACTGTGACCTATTCCTATCTCCTTGAAAATGTTGAATGAAACTTGACCGACTACCATTAGTGTAATAATTTCTTCCATTCTGTTGATTAGAAGATAAATCTTCTGACTCATTGCAAATACTAATATGATGCTTGCCTCCACATTTAGGACAATTCCTTTTGATGATGCAGTTTCTGGCTATATGCCCCTTCATATGAAGCATTTTTGAAAACGATTGAGGATTTCCTTCCGTCCTGAGACACTGGTTACATTTCTACAGGCGTTTGATGGATGGTTCATTCTACAATAGGTACATTGAACTTGTCTTTGTGTGTTAACGAGGAGTGATGAAGTTGTTCTTGACCTTGAGTTGTCCGAAAATCCGCCTTTCTGACATGTCCGTTCTCTGGCCTCCAATTCAATTAAAAACTTCTCCATAATAGTATCCATACTCCATTCATCATCTTTCATTTCTCTGCTTATGGCTAATTTCATTTCCGATGACAGTTTATTCATTAAAATTGATGATAGCAATGTTCCATGACTCGGGCATCACACCTAAGGATTTCAGTGCTCTAACCTTCGACTCTACAGTATCATACAGTTTTTGTAAGGATTTCAGATTGTTGGTGGAGGATTCAACGTTGAGAAGAGCTTCCATATTTTCATTAATAATTCTTTGCTTGTTTCCAAACCGCCTTGTTAATATGTCATCAGCTTCTTGATAATTACTTGACGTAAGTGATAAACCAGCAATTGCATCAGCAGCAGATTTTTCCACCAATGAATTCAGGTAGGTATACGTGTCGATTGCAGCTAAATTGTTGTTGTTGTGAATTGCATTTTCAAAGGAATCCCAAAATGTTTTCCATTCTGACAAGGTACCATCACATTTCTTCAATTCTAATTTGGGCAATCTTAAAGTAGGTGGTTTCGGACTATGATGATTTGTTGTTGTGGGCTTAGAATTATTTTCACCTTTTGCTTCAGCTGTTGAATTTTCTTGTCGATTTTCAGTTTCTTGATTGTTTGGTACCGGTACTCCATTTCCTGATTCTTTATTTAGAATGCTTTCGATATGCATCAATGTTGATTTGACAGTTTCAGAATGCAAATCAGCTGTTTCAATTTCTTCTACTATATAATCTTCATCCACAGAATTCAAAATTTTTTATCAAGGCTAATTATAGTTTGTCATTTCTCTTCAATGTTTCTTTTTAATGTCAATAACTGTGGAGCAATAACCTCGAAATTTCCCGTCGAAATGCTTGAAATAAGTTCTTCAGCTTTAGAAACAAGTCTTTTCACTGACGCCCTGTGGCCTTCACGTATTTTGACTTTCCGACTAAAACTTAACGGCATTATGTTGAATTGACAGATTGATTTTCAGTTTATGTATTCAAAGTTACCAATTTTTGAGTTACCACGTTTTCCTTTATTGATTTTAGAAAATTCTAGAATTTCCACACGAGGCTTAGATGAATAGAAAGTTTTCTTCGATTAAACACTTTTTCCCTTTGAATAAATCCGTCTCTGTCGTGACCATGTAGGACCCTGTCCCCTTTTCGGCCCCTGAAGCTTAGTAAAGACGTTTGGGCGACATCAAACTCTTTATATCTCTCAAAACTCCGGAGTGTTTGAATTCGTGTTTAATCTGCGCCATTTTCTTACATCTATATATAAACAAAATATGCATAAACCAAGTATGTGGAATATTGGTGAAGCGTAAATTGGGTTTAAGGAATTGAATATCTCACAACTGCTGATGAATACCCTTGCTGTTAAATGAAGTAATTTGCCAATCTGAATAAAATTTAGATCTGGGATTTTCTTTAATGTTTGCATATTTGAGTTATGACAACCATGATTATATAAATCGTGAGAAATAAAATATTTACCTGATATCCTGTTTTTAATCAAATCAAAATAAACTCTTCAAATGACAATTACAATCTATCTACGGTGAACGACTATTCTTCTATTTAGCAGATTATTTGATTGGTTGAAATTTTGATTATCACAAATCGTTATGCGGGATGATTTACCCAGATTATTCGAATGTCTTGTCCAACATAGCCAGTTTGAGAACTACGGTGATTTATGATTATTATAATTTAGATTGGCGCTGATATTTGTGGATTCTTTGGTGATACAACTCCTGAATTGTGTAAAAGATGGATGCAACTTGGTGCCTTCTATACTTTTAGTAGAAACCACAACGGCTTCGGATACACGGTATTTTCTCTATTTACTTCTATTTATTTAGTTTCAAGCAAGTAGTTGTGCTGATATCAGTCGACAGTTTGGCATTATGTTTTATTTTTTCAAAATTTTCGTTGCAGCCACAAGATCCTGGAGCTCTAGGTGAAGATGTGGCTAAGGCTTCACGTGAGGCTTTAGAAACCAGATATTGGCTATTACCATATCTATATACATTGTTTTATCAAGCACATACAGATGGTAACACTGTAATTAGACCATTACATCACGAGTAAGTCATTAAGTCTTATTACAGAATAACAAGACACTACAGCGCTTCAAAGAAAAGGGAATATGTGGGTCATGTACTGTGACTGGTAACATACTCCATACCGTTAACCGTGGATAAAAAAGTACGGATATATTGTAACATCTTTTTTTTTTATCATTTTAAACACCTTGTTTACCGAAACTGTATTTCTTTAGGTTTCCAGCAGATGAAAACACCTATGATATAGATAGACAGTTTCTATGGGGTCCGGCTTTACTTATTTCTCCTATACTCGAACCAGTAAGTGTTTTAATTTTGTAACCTTTTATACGATGAGCTCTTGTCAGTTGATATTTGTGGCGATTTTATGTCGTCTAAGGATAAAGCTGATATTTTTTGTTACTATTTCAGAACCAAGCAAGAATTAAGTATTATCTTCCAGATTCTATATGGTATGATTTTTATACTGTAAGTAAAATTAACTATCAATTACATTAGGGCAGGTGACCACTGGAATTGGACAGAAAACGCAGTTGATGAGTGTAGTTATGTAAAAGATAATGTTTCATTTCGACTGCATTTCAAATTTGTGTGTTGACCATCTATGTATGCTTAACCCATTGATAAGAACTCTTTACGTGGATCTTGGTCCCATTCATTGAATTGACTAAAGCGATGTGTAAAATCCGTCATCATTCATTTCAAGGGCAAGAAGTCTTCAGAAAATGGTTCTGTCAACGAGATCGTCCAATCAGACTCTAAGATTCCCCTCCATGTCCAAGGTGGACATATATTACCATTACAGAAACCAGCTAATAACACAAGTTTTAGGTTAGTTCTAAATTTGTTATGTTACGTTTAAAAGAAAATGTTCATGTATATAGTGGAATGTATTCGATGTTTAAGAAAGTTTGACATGGCTTTTTCTATCTAGATCTTGGACCATTATTCAAGTATCCATCTTTTTTTCGGCACTCGAATTCCATTGCGGCTACAATATTTTGTTTATCATGTCGGTTTTCTCCTTGTGATATTCATTTTCGTTTATTCTTACAGTCGAAAAAATGGGTTCAGATTAGTGGTTGCTTTAAAAGAGGGAAAGGCTTCTGGTGATCTCTATTGGGATGATGGCGACTCAATTAGTAAGTTTAAATCTTCTTATATTTAGATATTTAGATTTAGATATTTAATATAGTGATAATGTAATGTCGCAATTGATGTTCTCCACCATTTATCTTATATTTTTAGATGCCTACGAAAATGGAGTATATTATTTAGCAAAGTTTAAAGCAGAAAACGTAAGTGTACATCGGAATATAATTGCGTGTTCTTTGGAATAAATACATATGGTAGCTCCTAAATTTGATTCGTCTTCTGGGATCTTTGTTCTGAGACCTTCAAGTTGTTTAGAAACAATATATTTGAGGCCGAAGTTATATATTAGATACAAAAATAACTATTTGGAATGGTAGAAGGACATCATGATGGTCTTGATGGTCTTGGACATTTGACAATCTTCAACAATTTCCGCGAGGCTGAATCTGTCTAGAGTGAGTTAGACGCTTGTCCGCTAACCTGAAGGTCCATGGTTCAATCCCGGCATAGGTCGCATTGATACCTTCGCATTTTTCAACCCGGTTTCCTCCCTGTCAGTTATGCAGGTAAGAGGGGCTGACAGGGAAAAAGCGTCGGATGGGACAATAAACCGAGGCCCCCCTTTGTGCTACAAGCTGTGCACTTTAAAGATCCCTCGACAGTTGGAAATCGAAAAAGAACAGGCTAATGCCGCTGTCCTGACACAATTTCCAGGTAGGATTACAATTTGTGTAGGTAATGAATGGTAGATTCCGGCGTGTCTTCTGGCTGAGACTTTTTACTTCCGGCGTTTTACCAAGATTTTTTAAGTAATAGCAGAACCACAAAGCTCAAGAGGATCTTTCACGGTAGACCGTTTTGGTCTGATGTTTATATGTTGTTCATCTTGTTTTCTTTGTTACTAGATCTTACTTCTTGTACATTATCATCCTAATTTCAGAAATATTTAACAATGTCTGTAGAAAACAATAATTTACCAGAGGTTAAGGAACTGTTTGTAGAAAAAATAGAAATTTGGGGTTTGAATTCAATGACTGATAATGTGATATTGTTTAATGCTGATAATAGTATGAATGTTCTCAAACCAAGATATGACAATATATCTCAGGTAGTACTTTACATATATTTGGTATTTGGCAGTCAATGTCTGTGTTATATGTGTCAGTTGATGGATCCATAATTTGGGGGTGGGGCATTCATTCTTGTTTTTTTTTCTGATCATAAGCTTTAAACGAAAATTGCCTCATTGCCTTCTCTTTTACAGTCACTATTGATTTATTATAGTCCCACACATTAATATGTATTATTATTGGGTTTTAACAACACTCTAGAAGCATTATCGTTTTCATCATTGTTTTGAATGTTCAACATAATATATATTATATATTGATTCTTACAGGTTACCATTGTAGAGAATCTAAACATACCTCTGGAGCATTCCTTTCATCTTTCATGGGGGTAAGTTGTTTGAAGTTGAAACTTCCCCTTGTATCTGAAATAATATAGCTTGTGTGAAAGCTGACCCTGGTATTCGAAATTGAATTATATAGCTTGTGTGAAAGCTGACCCTGGTATCTGAAATTGAATTATATAGCTTGTGTGAAAGCTGACCCTGGTATCTGAAATTGAATAATATAGCTTGTGTTAAAGCTTCCCCAGGTATCTGAAATTGAATTAAATAGGTGGTGAGAAATCTGTCCCCGGTATCTGGAATTGAATTATATAGCTTGTGTGAAAGCTACCCCCGGTATCTGAAATTGAATTATATAGCTTGTGTGAAAGCTGACCCTGGTATCTGAAATTCAATAATATAGCTTGTGTGAAAGCTGACCCTGGTATCTGAAATTGAATAATTTAGCTTGTGTGAAAGCTACCCCCGGTATCTGAAATTGAATAATTTAGCTTGTGTGAAAGCTGCCCCCTGTATCTGAAATTAAATTATATAGCTTGTGCGAAAGTTGACTCTGGTATCTGAAATTGAATAATATAGCTTGTGTGAAAGCTGACCCTGGTATCTGAAATTGAATAATATAGCTTGTGTGAAAGCTGACCCTGGTATCTGAAATTGAATAATATAGCTTGTGTGAAAGCTGACCCTGGTATCTGAAATTGAATAATATAGCTTGTGTGAAAGCTACCCCCTGTATCTGAAACTAAATTATATATCTTGTGTAAATGTTGGCAAAAATAGGATTATAGATAGTTTTGTCATAGTTTTGTTTTAACATAAAAATTGTTCATTGTCAAGTAACGCTCACTGAGAGAATACCTGTTGGCAATTGCGACTGGATTTGTCGCCACCATGTTAAGAAAATACACATTGCCAATAATTTATCCATTAGCATTTTAACTATTTAGAAATAATCCCTGGGATCAGTTTTCAAGAATTGATTGCTTTACGGAACGCCATGGTGGCTATATCAAACTTACAGAGGAAGCCTGTCGATCCAGGAATTGCGAATACGATGAAGACATTTTCCATCCCAAAGTGCCAGTTTGCTATTTTAAGAATGGTGGATACAGGATAAGCGGATTGCCAGTACAAACTAGTCAAGGGCTCAAGATACTGTTAACTAGCGTCGGCCCTGGACCTTTCCAAAATAATAAACAGAATATATTGCTTACTGTAGAAATAAAAAGTGATTTCTTGCTTCGTTTTAAGGTACGTTTATAAATATGTTAGCAATCTTTTCAATTCCATTTGGGAATTTATGATGGGATTTATCTTTATAAAATTTTCAGAACCATAATAATGTAATATAATCTAAAATTCCGGATCCATCTGAAAACAACCCTGAGCCATCATGTTTTGATTACCAATAATTCATGTCAAAGATAAAAATAAAGTAAGAAATATCATCCAGTTTTCATCTCACTGTCTCTTTTGAAGAGTCTACAAATGTTATCTGAATTATTTTCTCAACTTATCGAATTATTATCTCTTTAAACAGTTTGAGGTTGTTGGTGAAAACAGATATATTGTTCCTAAAGAAATGAATACACCAAATGATACAGTATCGAATAAAGTCCTTTGCGAGTTCAAAATTACTAATAATGATATATTTGCTTTCCAAATCATTCGAAAAGAAACCAAAACAGTAATGTAAGTAAACAAATTCCTTTTTAAATCCTAATGACTTTCGTTAAATAATTTCTACATCTTGAAAGTCATTCAGGTTCTACTGAAAGAAATTGAATAATGAATAATAAACATTAATTTCATTAAGAGCCACGACCATATTTTCAAATTGTAGATTCGATACGGGAGTAGGTGGCTTGGTCTTCGCCGACCAATTTTTACAAATCTCCACCAAACTACCTTCTACTAGTATTTATGGTTTTGGAGAAAATCTTCATCATTCCTTCCGCCATGATCTGAGTTTTGAAACCTGGTCAATGTTTTCAAGAGACCAACCAACAGTTAAAGCGTGGGGAGTAAGTACTTTCTTTCTGTGAATGGCTATTGAAACATTTTAGAGTTGTCAATGATTAATACTGATCGGATGAGAAAATGTATACAAGAATATTGTTCATGAACATAGTTCATGTTATATATTATATTATTATACGAGTTACAGTCTTGTGGTATTATATAGAATTTATTAATAATCTGTATTATGGTAAAATTAGAATACTCAACAGTCAAGAGTAAATACCGGTGTCACCCTACGACTGAATTTGTACATTTGTCACGAATCTCGCTGAATCAAAATAATTTAAACGTTATTTTGTTTTTGTTCATGTATCAAATAGGCTTACTATTATAGCACTTTTTTTTTAGAAACATCTTAATCACTACGGTGTCCACCCATTTTATGTTGGAATGGAAGACGATGGTAAAGCTCACGGTGTTTTATTGTTGAACAGCAATGCCCAAGGTTATTATTTCAAATGTTTTAAGTGTTTGGTCACCTTTTAGAATGTTTCACCCAACAACTGATAAAAGTCACACATTACCAAGCTTTGTTATTACAGGCTGTTTAATTTAATAAACGTTTTTGCCGTCTAACACATTTTACTCTATTAAAATTCGTGTCATTAAAGAGCTTACAATATTTTTTAGATTATTCGTTTACACCCCTTCCAATGCTTACATACAGAACGATAGGTGGGATTTTAGATTTCTATATTTTCATGGGACCAACACCAGAGAATGTCATACAGCAATACACTAAAGTAAGATAAATGTCATTATATTTAGGTTGTCTTCATGTTCATTAATTGTTCCACTACTACTAGCCAAAATCTTGGTGATAAGAAAAATAACAAATCAAATTACCCAATACGTTTCAGTTGTCCAAAGACCTCCAAGATTGAAGCTTCTGTTTTCTAGTTCCAATTCCAAATACTAACATCAATGAGCTTCATTTGCTGCACAACTTCTTGTGCAAGACGCGTAGCTCACGAAGCACGGCGTGTAACCGGCCCTTTGTACTTGTAAAATGTTATATAGGGAGTTTTTGGCACACTTTTATCTCCGCTAATAGGTGTGCTGAATGTTTTTATTTTTGTTCAATAAGAAATTGTCAACATTTATTTTAGGCTATTGGTCGTCCTATGATGCCACCTTATTGGTCTCTGGGATTTCAACTGTGTCGCTATGGTTATGACAGTCTAGATAATTTGAAAGCTGCCGTTGACAGAACAAAAGCTGGTGACATACCACACGTAAGGTCTTCCAAATATTTCATTAGGTACATTTAAGACAGGGGTGTTCAACCTGGCAATTTTAAAATTTAGGGGGTATTCGTTTTAGATGTCTCTGTGGGCGTTTACCAGTCAAATTTAAGGTTTGTGAAGGCTTGCAAGAAATTGATCAATTCTGTTAAATTTGTCATTGATTGTTTCTTTCAGGATGTACAATATGCTGATATAGATCATTATGATAACAATAAAATATTCACTGTTGATCAAGAAAAATTTGGCGGGTTATCGGAATATTTCAGTCAGTTACGTGCAGAGGGCATGAGTACCATAATCATTTTGGTAAATACTTCACCATTTTAATCATCTTGTTAATACCGCTTTCAACATGCTTATTAAAATGCATTTTTTCTGTTGTATTGTTTTATTAGTCACAATGCAAAGTATGGCTATACCTCATCACTTAATTAGAGTTTTTTCAAATTATTTTAAGGACCCATGTATCGTATCGAACGAAACAAATTATCAACCCTATGATGATATTCGTCAGATTAGTGGATCTATTATGTGGCCTGATAACTTCAACATTCCAGATGGTAGCGCTGATACAGATAAAGCTATGTTTGGCTATGTAAGTTCTCTGTGGCTAATCATGACATCGCTCCATTAATCAATTTGAGCTATATTGTGATGTAATCCTTAAAGAAACGCATTGTATGTGGATTATCCATTATATTTGTTTTTCTCTTAAAGTAACAATTTACATCGATTTGTTCACGCCCGTCTGATGCGGGCTACTTCAAAAATCCCAAAAGACCAAACGGCAAGGTCCGGGGTCCGTCAGGCACCAAGGAACATAGAATAACCAAGGTCTCTTTCTTTTAAATAACAGCAGAAGTATATCAATTTTCATTTATTACAGGTTTGGCCTCAAGGAAAAGTTGTTTTTCCTGATTATTTTAAAACAGAAACCAGCAAGCTGTGGAAGAAATGGATCAAAGATTACCATAAGAAGCTCGTCTTTGATGGACTTTGGATTGTATGTTTATCTCTTTCTAACTATAATACAAACATCTGAATACTGTTTTATTTCTAAGGATCAAAGATATTGTAAAAGTTTTGTCTTGTTCCAATTTAGATAGTCGTGAACTTTGCTTATGATCGGTTAGTTAATATCGACATCTGGATCCCACTCTTTAGGACACGAATGAACCGGCTTATTTTGAAACCAATGAAAGCATGGAATTGGCAGGAAACGGGAAAACATACTGGCCGATTATTCTCGAAACAATCTTTGAGTGACCATTTGCTACCATTCCTTGACACGAATAATTTAATTCAATTTAATACCTCTAACCGATCATTTGCAATACAAACTTTTATTGGCAAGAATTGAGTTTGTTTGTTATTGTTATAAGGAAATTAATAATATTATAGGATATGAATGAACCAGCTAATTTTGGAACCAATGAAAAGAGACCATGGAACTGGCCTGAAAAGGACAAACCATACTGGAGCTTAAAATGTGGCAATAATACATGGGACGATCCCCCATATAGAACAAGTAAACTTTTTTTATCAAATAAAAGTAGGCCTACCTACAACTTACACTTTCCGAATTTGTCAAAATAGTAGTTACTCTTTGTGAATCAACAAACATCTGTTCGAATATAAATCTGCCCACACCAGTTGGTAGAAGGTGAAACAGCTGTAGGGAAAACAATACCATCAAATTTTTCTTCAATTCTAAGTTTAATTCCCAAAAATATTTACATTAGCGGAAGCGTTATTTCATTGTGAACACGTCAAACCTGCCAATGTCACCCTACTCAAATAATACTTAATTCTATGCTAGTATAGTCATGTTCATTCACAATATAATTACTTGTACCGGGTAACAATCGTCGATACACGACATCGCGATACGATATGTCACAATATCTGAGCATGTCGTATCGCGATGCATCGATTCACCGATATATCGTACCAGCACAAATAATTAGACGAACTGTGTGATATCTGTAGGTGCTGGATATAGTTATGATTATGGAAATAAGGAAGCTCGACTATCGGATAAGACATTGTGTCTTGTTGGTCGACAGGGTGATCGAGGGCAATACAGTCACTATGATGTCCATTCTTTATATGGGTGGAGCCAAACCATGCCGACATTTGAGTAAGTAAAAGTTTTTGGGAAGTATTTGTAGCCGTCTTATGTGATCAGTGAAACACTTATTTGCACCTCGATCTGAAATTCCTAAGGAATTCGTCGAATATAAAGAGCGATCGAATTGTAAACGAATGTTGATCTTTTCTATTCCAGTGGATTACAAGAAGCTACGGGAGAAAGGGGTATCGTAGTGACCAGATCAACATTTGTAGGAAGTGGTCAACATTCTGGACATTGGCTAGGAGATAATAAAAGTACATGGGAAGATCTCAGACTTTCAATTATTGGTAAAAAAAGGACATTTACATTGTTTGTTAATTTCACTATAGAAAAGCCTAGAATCGTTACTCTAGAATCAAATGGTCAATTTGATATACGTGATCAATGATAAAAACGCGGTCTATTTTTCTTCAACCAAATGGAATTGAATAAATAAAACGGAATGTTAACATTGTGCTATTTATTTTTAAAATAGGAATGCTGGAGTTTAATTTGTTTGGAATTCCATATGTAAGTATTGCTCTATGTATACGTTACTCTTACGTTGATCATGTTGATTGTATTGTATGAAAAGGTACAATTAAATTTAGTCACAATTATCAGTACACATTGTCACCTTTTTAAATATGTGTCTTGAATCTGTATACCAGGTTGGTGCTGATATCTGTGGATATTTTGAAGATACAAATGTGGAACTGTGTAAAAGATGGATGCAGTTGGGAGCCTTCTATCCCTACAGTAGAAATCATAATGGCAAAGGATATATTGTAAGCATATGGTTTTTTTGTCTATGAATAAAAAACCGTACAAGCAAGACAATTCCGTAAATCAAAAACGTTTCCAAAGTATGTCAAAATCAAGAATAAAAGATGTAGTGGACTCCTTCATAGAGAAGTGCTATCAGGTAGTAGAAGAAAGTATGCTCTGTCTATGACGTTCTGACTGACTTTGTTTCCCTTGTATACCAAAAGTTATCTGACATTGTGTTCCATTACCCAATTGCTATATATATCGTTCACCAAAACAAGACATTTAAATTATGTATTTAGTCAACTTGTTTATGTAATTCATTAGGATCAAGATCCTGGAGCATTAGGCGAAGAAGTAGTCATAGCATCAAGGGAAGCTTTAAGGACTCGTTATCAACTATTACCCTATCTGTATACATTGTTTCATCAAGCTCATGTTGACGGTAATACAGTAGTCCGCCCTCTTCATCACGAGTAAGTTTCAGATTTATTCCAGTTCAACTAGTAGTAGTTTTCATATAATGTCGTTTGTGTGATACTTTTTTGATGTTTCTACCAATTTATCCTCTTGTTTTGGATTACAACTTTCTTCGTCAGATTGTCTACAGTGGCTCAACTACCATATAGGGACTGGTTGAACCAAGTCCACGAGCTCCCACCCGGGGAAAATGTAGGAGAGCATAATGTTTAAAAAAAATACCGGGGAGAGGCCCCAACCCACGTTAGTCCACTCATCTAGTTGAGCCACTGATTATCGGGACCCATATACAACTAGTTCGCTGGAACATTGATAAATGATGACTTACTGAAACAATTGTTCACTGCCTAGACAATTTCTAGGATACCACGACAAGATCTCTAAATTTTCTGACCAATAGATCAACGGGGTCCCGAAAATATTGATGACTTCTTTCTTTTAGATTTCCAGACGATAAGAAAACTTATGGTATCCAAGAACAGTTTATGTGGGGACGATCTCTTTTGATATCACCAATTCTTTATCCTGTAAGTATCACTGAGACAATAATTATTGGATGTGCTTGAACGATCATCTTTCCAACAACCTAATTCTGTTTCCTGAAATTTCAACGCCTTCGGAATTTGAACTCCCAACTCCCAAGATATTTTCCCCGTAATCGTCTACAGAGATTGGTTTTACATTGCTGAACGCGTACAAATCCCTTATGCTACATCCATGTCCAACAATCATCGTCCAGAACGGCAATAAACATCTGTTGATAATTTATTTGATGGACATATTTGTCCACTATATTGCAACCCAGGCTCCAAGAGGCTGTCGCCGCTACTGGTATCCTTAGCAATGCTTCGGAATGATATAATATATATATAATATATAATAATATCATATGAATGCATCATCAGTTCTGGACAAATAATAATCACACTATATGTTGTTGCCTGTCATTATTCCCAAATTATTTTGTTTTGATTTTACTTTCTTATTATCTAGAACCAAACTAAACTGAAGATGTATAAACCAAATGGTGTGTGGTATGATTTTTATTCTGTAAGTTATATTTTTATAAAAAGCATCACATTGTATCATGACGTCACATACCAATACGTTAATTGTGTCATGTAGTTAGATTCCTTAAAATTTGTGTAAACTCGTAATACAATGTGTATATTTTAAACGTAGAAGTGTTTCGGTAAAGAACATGGAAAAATTTCTTTCAGAAAACAGCTGTATCTGGACCAACTACTGGCCTATATAAAACATTAGATATAAGTTCCGATTCAAAAATACCACTACATATCCGGGCTGGTTCAATCCTGTGTTTGCAGGATCATGCCAGAAATACTAGGGAAAGGTAGGGGTTTTTTGGTTATGAACTATCAACTAGCATATTATGTAAAGCTATTTTTAATGGTATGTTTACACAGTTATTTCTTGTTTAAATGTTGTCCTAATGCTCAGCTACACAATAATATATATTCAAATAATTATAAATCATTGTTGTTTATCTAATATTTACATAATATGGTTATCATTTATTGTTTGTATAGTCGGAAAAGGCCAATGAGACTATTGGTAGCTTTGGATGTTAACAATAATATAACTAATGGGGAATTATTTTGGGATGACGGAGTTTCAATTGGTGAGTTTTAATGACCTGTATCTCTATTAGTTTATATATTCTAAAAGTGAGATTGTGTAAAATTATCTTATATAATTCTATATTTTTGTCTAAAATAATCAAGAAAGATAATCCAGATTATTTTATGATATTAATCAAATTTAAAAATAAACTGTTTTCTATTCCAGATACTTATGAAAATGGAAATTATTACAAGGCAGAATTTGAATTTAAAGAGGTATAGAAACTTTTTCTTTCCGAAAAAAATCGCAAAAAACAAGGGAATAATTTGGATACCTGTATAATATATAAATAAGAAAATAATGTGCTCTTATTTTGGTACGTTTTGTTATATTTGCAATATGAAAGAAACTAATCTTTGTTATTCAAGAAGTATGACAGCTCATAATGAAAGAAATGGTTTAAAACAAAGAATCTTATAATTCAGGCCAAATTATCAATGAAGATTCTACACAGTGCCATTGAAGAAGTGAACCATCTATATATTGAAAAAATAGAAGTAATGGGATTTCCACAAGAGAATGTTAGGCCAATCGTTAGATATGCTTCGGAAAATTTGGATCTACCATTTGTATTTGACATAACAAAACAGGTAAACATATTCACAACTACCTTTGGAGAAGGTTGAAAAGGTTACTTTCTCATATTAATGAAAACTACACACCAAAATTTAAAGAAAAGTGTCCCTTACCTTATCTCAAAGTTTTCTTTAGATTCATAGCATATGTTAAAAAAAATTTTATGTGTATTTAACAATGTTTTTTATACGCCCACATGAAATGGAGGGCGTATATTGCCGTCACCCATGTCCGTCCGTCGTCCGTTTTTAGCTCGTAAACACTCTAGAATTCTTGGTGGATTTTGACGAAACTTGACATGATATGTGTGTTTGTTATCACCCATGGATAAACCCTATTGAAAATCAGAAAAAATTGAAAAATATTTAGTATGAGTTATTGCCTTTGTTCTTGAAAACACGTTCAAATTTTAGCTTGTAAACACTCTAGAAGAGACAATTCTTGATGGAATTTGGCGAAACTTGGCGTGAGTGTTGGTTATCACCCAAGGATGAACCCTAATGAAAATCAGAAGAATCGAAAAATATTGAGTATGAGTTATTGCCCTTGTTCTTGAAAACACGTTCAATTTTTGGCTTGTAAACACTCTAGAAGGCACAATTCTTGACGGATTTTATTGAAACTTGGCTTGAGTGTTTGTTATCACCCATGGATGAAGCCTATTGAAAATCAGAAAAATCGAAAAATATTTAGTATGAGTTATTGCCTTTGTTCTTGAAAACTCGTTCGATTTGTAGCTTGTAAAAACTCCAGAAGGCATGATTCTTGCCGGATTTTGACAAAACTTGGTTTTATTATTCATTACCGCGCTGAAGATTGAATATTTGTCTTCTAGAGTTTTCACGAGCTAAAGATTGAACACGTTTTCAGGAGCAAGGGCAAAAACTCAGACTCAATATTATTCAGAATTGCCCTAAAGAGTTCAAAAGAAGTGTATGACTGAAGGTTGAATATTTCATACTGGTGATTGTTACTGTACTGCTAAATATTTTCATTCAAAATCATAGCTGCCAGTGGGCGTATATTACCTTGCCTGGCAAGCTATCTTTATAATAAAAATTTAATGTTGATCCTTTAAATTACTATACTAATGATATTAAGATATTGTAAACCTAGACCGCATCATTGTTTTTTTATTATTTGCCTAGTTATGTACCACACACATCCTGTTGTTTCTGATTATTTAGAAACTTTTTCCCCTGTTTCAGATATTGGTTATCAATCATAAGTTTCCATTGAACAAGGAATTTACGCTTGTCTTTGCTAATTTATATGGTTCTCAGTAAGTCCAAATAAAGGTTTATAATCCTTTTCGACATATATACCAAAAGCCAAAAATCAAAAATTGGAATCGGATATGTATCTATCAATATGGTGTTTATTATGTTTTATGACAAGAATTTGCGTAAAGAACAGTTAACCTTGGGTGAAATGCAAAGGAAGGCTTTTTAGCCTAATTACTTACCCTAATCATTATTATTATTATTATTATTATTATTATTATTACAGAAACAATCTTCAGTTTAAATTTCGACCCTTTCTATGTATGGCTAACCTACTTCCCTCATAAATTCAATATATTCCAGCTTGTCGACGGAGGAACATTACTCTAGAATTGACTGCTACCCAGAAGTTATGGGAGGGATTGAGAAAGTAAACGAAGGTAAATGTCTAGCTCGAGGATGTTTATATGACTCGGTTGTTATGTCAGGGGTACCACACTGTTTCTTTAAAACAAATGATTATGGCTATATGATAAACGGTACTAGAGAAGATACAGATTTAGGGTACCAAATTCCATTGAAAAGATCACCACTACCAGGTCCGTTCCCTGAAGATCTTCAACAAATTACATTTGAGGTTCAAGAGTTAGATGATCATCTGCTTCGAGTCAAGGTAGGGAAACCCTTCACTAATGCTTTAAATTCCATGCCATGTAGCTCTAATCCCTGGTTGTTTCTCATCACAGAAAGGTTTTTGACAAAAACAAGAACAAGAAGCTATAGATAAAAAAGAGTAATATAAACAAAAACTACTAAATTTTAACATAGCGTTCAAAGTACATTTAAAGGTTTAGAAATGGCTTATTTGTGATGTTAAGGCTTTGTTGAAATATAAAGGCCTTTTTCGTCCAGGAAGAGATTAAAAATTCCAGTGAACTACGTTCATGTGTATTACTTCCATGTAAGAACCATACATAGTTTCGTATGTCCAGGGATTTTATATGCTTTTCATCGAAGACATTCATGCCTTCAATTCAATTCAGAATAATTATACAGAATCCGCTTCTTTTCTTTAGATATTTGACAAAAACAAGAAACGATTTGAAGTTCCGCTGGAATTAACCAACCCTGGCACAAAAGCTGAAAATCCCCGTTATATGGTTAAATATTTCAATAATAACACTTTTAGTTTCCAAGTCATCAGACATACTACAGAAACAGTATTGTAAGTATAGAATTATTCAAAACCATTCTATAACGCCTCCTAGGCATAACATGATCTTTGTCCCAAGGACAATATCAAGCCACCTTGGAGCCGGAGGAGGAAGTAGGTAAGAGGTAGAGGCTACTGTTTTTTCAGTCGGCTCATTTCTGGTGCGCAAAAGTACGCGCACGTATCCGAAAGTACCACCCAATTGCGAGATTGAAGCCCGCTTCCCATGAGCAAGTGACCGATCTTCGTGTGTTGTTCGGGCTTATCAAACAAATAAATCATCGGAAACAATATGGAACAGATCGAACCGATTGAAAAAAATAATCCTTGGTATATATGAAAAGATAATATAAAGAACTTTTCATCCTCCAAACATTGTTTCGATGTTTTTAAAGTTTTCTTTCTTTATGTTATGCTCACATTAATGTAGATTTGATACCAGTGTCGGTGGACTTACATTTGCTGACAAGTTTTTACAGATCTCTAGCAAGTTACCATCAACAAATATTTATGGATTTGGTGAAAATGCTATTAAAGATTCCTTTAGACACAATCTTTGGTTCAAATCATATCCTTTGTTCAGTCGAGATCAACCTACAAATGTTAATGTAAGAATCAAATTTTCAAGAATCTACCATTTTTATAGGTTATTGGTGAGACTTTTGCAAAAGAATTTGAAATCCCGTCCAGCTCTCATGCCTAATATTCCAAGCAGTTAAAAGTTCAAAAAATAAATCCGTAATGATTGTTTTTGAACGTTCATTTGTGAAGCACTAGCCTATTTTGCTTTATTTTAGGAACCTTTAAACCACTATGGCGTCCATCCCTTCTACACAGTTCTAGAGAATGATGGCAACTCTCATGGAGTTTTAATACTCAATTCTAATGCACAAGGTACAGTTTTCGTTTGTCTTTTCTGATTGGATGATGACGGTCTGTTTTGCAGACGATAAAAAATATCGGACTTGTTTGATATTATAAATCCTGTCGCAGACGCGATAATTTTCTCGTGGAATCACGGACACACGCGAGATTTTTCTCTAGACTCTAATCGGCAACAAAAATCTCCGATCAAGACCGCTCGCAGCATTAAACATAGTATAACTAACCTTGTACTGGGACATTTATGTTTCTCTCCTGGTCAAGAGATATACCTTGAGCACTGTGTTAATAGGTTTTCCGGAATTATAGCAATAGATTCGTTATAGTAACTAGCACAACCTCTAAGAATAAGTGCCGAAAATATCTCATTTGATATTTCAGAATATTCTTTTACCCCATTACCAATGTTGACATACCGAACTATTGGAGGAATATTAGATTTATATTTCTTCCTCGGTCCTGAACCAGAAAATGTTATTCAACAATACACTACAGTAAGCCTATATAATCTAATAATGAAGTTAAATGAAAATTTATGTCTGTTACAAAGATGTGTTATATCTTAGAAACCCCAGAGTCATAGGGTTTGTCCAGTGCCTGGCTAGGCTATTCATTTGTCCAATTATTTAGTTGTCTCCCAACTCAGACCCAAAAGCATGTTTTTCGGACAAAAATCTCATAACTAGGTTAGAATTTGGGCAACCTCAGGTTCTCTTCCGCTCCGACACTACTCTTAACACCATTTAATCTATTTCAGATGATAGGGAAACCGTACATGCCACCATACTGGAGTTTAGGGTTCCAATTATCGCGATTTGGTTATGACAATCTCGAAGAAATGAAACAGGCTGTAACAAGGACACGGGAAGCAAAAATTCCTCATGTAAGTCGAATTTACTTAAGAAGAAAGATGGCGTTCACAAACCACTTTCAGTGTATCAAGGGTTGAAACTCCGTCAATATGTTGATTTCAACACAAATTCGTTGTTCAAGATCTGCACCGACATTTTTGCTCTTTCAGTTGAAAGAAATAAGTTACAGACATTCGTTCCATCTAAACAGATCAACACGTTCAAGCAGAAACGTCGACAAGTATTCAGGCATATCTCATTACATGACAATGTAATTACATGACAACATGACATGACACAATTACATGACAACATGACATGACACAATTACATGACAACATGGACGAAAGATACTACAGTACAGCATACGGCCGACTTTTGTGATGTTTAATGTGTGAAAGGTAATTCTATGACAAATTATATTGATTAGGATGTTCAAATGGCTGATATAGATCATATGAATCAGAGAAAAGACTTTACAGTGGATGATGTAAATTTTGCCGGATTAAAAGATTATTTTAATGATTTGAGAAGTGATGGAATGAGGACTATCATTATTCTGGTAAAATATTATGTTTATGTCATTGAAAACGTAAGGTAGTTGACAGTAGTAGTTTCTGGCCCTCCATAGTCATTGATGTGTTTTGTTTTAATCCCATCTATAACGGTTATCCATAAGTATCAGAATAAGTTCGTGGAGTTAAACCAGTTATAGTAAACCGGATCTTGCACCTTTTTTTATCTCGAATTTCAGAGGCGATAGCATAGAAAGGGTCTAGAATTAATATGAAATACATTGATTTGTTCAAGACAATTTCACTGTAGTAAGCCAACCAGACATTGTTTTTATACATTAATTCCTAATTCCTGAGTTAAAGTTTAAACTGTTGAGAATAGAAATAAAGAAATAGATACAGAATTTTTATTATTTCAAATCAGGACCCAGCATTACAAGCAGAAGATACAAATTATGAACCGTATGAAAGAATTAAAGCAGTAAATGGTTATATAAAATGGCCAGTTGGTGCATCTATTCCCTCAGATAGTTTTACTTCAAATCGATCACTTCTTGGCAAAGTAAGTATTTAAAGTTATTTTTATATTAAAACCATTGGAACACCGATTTTGTTTAAAAAATTGAAATATTGATGTCAATGACTTTGGATGTATTTTGTGATCACGAGATAATACGAGTACCTTTGATAATTTCAATATTCTTATATTTACTTACATGAATATTTTGTAGGTTTGGCCTCCTGGAAAAGTGGTATTTCCAGATTTTTTCAATGAGAACACAGCACGAGTCTGGTCGGAACTGATAGCTGAACATACAAATCTGGTCCCCTTTGATGGTATTTGGATTGTAAGTTTATTCCTGTTTACTTTTCGCTAACTCGCTGAGAGAAAGCTAATTTTACTAACAACAGATCTTAATCTTCAATCAGCATAATTACTGAATCATCTGCAACTTTATGGGGATAACCTCTCCGCTTTGTCTTCAACGAGGATTTTTATGAGATTTTGTACTTGTATATAGGAACCGTAGATGTCATGCAGGAAATTGTATTTTTTATATATACCTTTTTAAGTTGATAGACATACAAAGTTTAAAAATCTTTAAAATCCACTTGGCCCTGTGTATTGGTCATGCCATTTTCTTAAATCTCCCTCAAACAGGATATGAATGAACCTTCTAATTTTGAAACCAATAATGAAGAGTCTAACTGGACATTGAAGTGTACCAACAATGATTGGGATGATCCACCATACAGAACAAGTAAGATCCACAAAACACAAAACTTCCGCTTGTATTATTTTTTATGAAAGCTAAAGAAAACAAAAATTTGAAAGTCCAGTTTGTGTGCCGACATGATTTAAAACATTATAAAGAGTAAAAAAGAGCAAACATTGTGTCAAAGCTAAATCATAGAAATAGGATTATTTCGAGTCATAAAGTAAAGTATTCTATCAATTATCTGTTTACAGTGGCTTCATTTGTGTATGATAAGAACAGAATTGGAGTTAATAAAACAGCAAGACTATCTGATAATACTATTTGTATGAATACGCTACAGGGCGTTAATGAACAATATCGGCATTATGATGTCCATAGTTTATATGGTTGGAGTCAAACTTCAGCTACATTACAGTAAGTGATACTGAAAACTATCACAATTTTTATCATAAAACGATATCCATAATGCCGTAACTCTGTTGATATTTGATCATATGAAAGAGGTCATTAAGAAAATCATTCTTGAAAGTTTTAGAAAAATTTAGATGCGTTATTTACAAGGGATACGTTATCAATGTGGTTTTCTTATATAAATTGCTCAGATCTAAGAAGGTGTTGCATGAAATGCACTTATAATTAATCCTTATTTCAAGGGGTATTAGAAAAGCAAAGAATAACCAAGAAAGAGGACTTATACTGTCAAGATCAACGTTCCCGGGAAGCGGCGCATGGTCAGTTCATTGGTTAGGAGATAATGAAAGTACCTTTAAGCATATGAAGCAATCCATAATTGGTCTTTTGGATTTTAATCTGTTTGGAATACCTTTTGTAAGTCATTTTTGTAATACAGTATAAAATGTCCAGAATAGAAATAGGAAGAATCATACATGACTTAATCATCTTCCAAATCTATTTCGAAATAAAAAGGTTAAGTCACTGAAAGACTTTCAATGGGCTGTAGAGATTTTCAATGGATTTTGTCATTTACATTATTTGTTTAAAGATTGGCGCTGATATTTGTGGATATTTTGGTGATACAACTCCTGAATTGTGTAAAAGATGGATGCAACTTGGTGCCTTCTATACTTTTAGTAGAAACCACAATGAAGCAAAAACAAAGGTACCCGGTAATCCATAATTTTATTTTAAGTCAGTTGCTATGAAAGAGTACAAAAATGTAATGTTACCTTTACATAGTCATTTTTTTAACATTCAAACGTGGATAATTCTGGACACACATGGATTTGAAGGCTCAAATTTCGACGGTGAACTGTGAACAGATTGGCTGAGTTAAAAAAGAATTGCTATGATTTGCCAAAAAATGGCGCATCTGCCCCTTTCAGAATTGGAAGCCGAATATATAATTACTAGAATATATTATATGAATATGTATAAAATATACATGTACCAACACGAACCTGGATAGGGCCTGACATGAACAAACATCGATGCTTAACTAAAGCCTGAGTCAAGGTAACAATCCAGTCACATGCAATTTGCTTCCTGACGAAGATCGAAGCCAGAAAATTAAGTGTTTTTCCACTGTTCGGTTATCTCTATTTTAGGCACAAGATCCTGGAGCTTTAGGCGAAGATGTGGCCAAGGCTTCACGTGAGGCTTTAGAAACGAGATATTGGTTATTACCATATTTATATACGTTGTTTCATCAAGCGCATAAAGATGGTAACACTGTGATTAGACCATTACATCACGAGTACGTTCACTTCAGATAGCCTACATATACAATTCTAAAACCATTTCTCATCCATTCTTTACTGCTTTATTCTCCGACCACAGTAATTTCTGAATTTGATTATTCCATTGTTTCAATACATTAAAAATAATTAACATATGATATAACCAAATTCA